GACTGCCGGCTCCCGAACGCGAGGCCACCGCTCGCGACGATCGCCGACCCCTTCGATGGCAGCTCTAAGTGGACGACAGCTCTTCGGGCGCCACACGTCTTGTCTGCCATCACTTCTCATATAATGATTGCTTTTCTTACCATTCATTTAATCCACAATTACTTAGAATTACGTAAAATTTAATTACAATTTAATTAATATAATAATTGATATTTTGTTCTGTTTTTTGTGATAATGTTTTTGATTATATTTTTTGCATTCATTTGTTGTGTGTTTTGTGTTTCAAATGCTGTACTAATTGTGACAATAAATGTATCGTTAATTGCGAGTCAACTCTCGATTCGATGAGTCATACAATGAGTCGATTGAATACAACATACGATCGAATGGAATGTTTGAACTCATCGTCTGCTCTGAGTTCGCGATTCGAATGCAGCGCTCGAACTGTGAGTCAGAGTCTGAGTGCGAATGGAATGGTTTGGCAACGCTTTGCCGGCGTCTGAGTTAAGCCCACCATAAATGACGTCGCGGTTGAGTGGCGTTGAGTGCGTTGTATTGAACTGTGAGTGTTGTTGAATAGCGCGACGTATAGTGTGTTTGTGTTGAGCGAGTGTTGCATTGAAGGCGCCATCACTTCATTGAACGCTCTTTTTGTGTGCATTTCTCTCAACAATACATTGCTTTCCAATCGTTTGATCCAAACCTCAAGACAACACCACTTCAGACAACACCACAAATGGATGACTCGATTGACACGAAAGCGAACGCGAAGGACGACTCGGCGGTCGAGAAGGAGGTGACCGACAAAGCCATAGAAGAGCCCAAAGACGCGGACGAGTCGTCAGCGGCCGACGCGAGCGCCGCCGCAGCCGTCGAAGAGCCCATCCCTTCCGGCGATGATAAGGACACGACCGCCGCCGACGACAAGATGGACACCGACTCGCAAGGCGTTGACGGATCCGCTGCGACGGCCGACGAGCCGAAGAGTGTGGCCGCCGATGAAGAGCCGACTGTGGCGGACGAGACGGGCGGCGACAGCGCTGGCAAAGGCGTGGAGCCGTCAGTGGGTGCGGAACCGGTGCCAGAAGTGGCGGTGAAGTCTCCCTCGCCGGCGCCGGCCGTGCAGTCGATGACTCCTCCGCGGTCTCAGTCGTCGAAGAAGCCGAAAGTGGATTTGGCGTCGGTTCCCGTCCGCCAGTATTTGGACACAACAGTAGTGCCGATACTATTGCAGGGCTTGTCGTCGTTGGCGAGAGAGAGGCCGCAAAAGCCGATCGCCTTTTTGGCGCAGTTTCTGTTGGAAAAGGCGTCAGAATATGACGAGTGAGACATCCATTCAATTCATACATACTTTTCATATATCTATTGTTTTTCTCATACTTTTTGATGATTTCTTTCGCTTTTATCTATAACTATAATAATAACCAGTTTTTATGTCTTAAAATAATTTTGTTTTTCTACCATTTATTACAAAAACTAATTCATTACTAAATTATTTTGGTTTTTGTGTTTATTTTTTGTATAAATACTTCATTTCTAATGTATTTTCTATTGTATTTCACATTTGAATTAAAAATTTTAGAAATTTGTTTTGTATTCCTATTTATGAGAGAAATTAGTATTTAAAACACTATTTAGTAATAAAATGATTGTTTTTTCAATACTTTTTTAATTAATAATTAACACATAAATAGCCGAATATTCTAAGCATTAGATTTGTATGTAATCTGAAATGTCATTCACTCGTTGTATGTCTTAATTGTTTTAAACAAAAGTAGTTTTAAAAACGAAAAAAAACTTTAGATAACATATTGATGGAGAGGTTGTATCGCAAGAGAGCGCTAATACCACTAATTGACGGACAGGTATAGAGAGGGGGAGAGAGAGCTGAACAGCACAGGTAGGAAAAAGTTGTTTTACACACAGGTATTGCTGGGGTTTGTTATGTAACCCCACTTTGAATGGCATTACGTCTATTGCGTACACACTTTGGATGGTATGGTATGTGTTGTATTGGGTGTGACTGTAAACACATCTCTCGCTTAAAGGTGGTTACGAATGACTGAATCTCAAGACATGATCAACACTTAACCACTCATTTATACCATAGTAATCATGTTTAGCCAATTATTGGTCATAATTAGACGTTAGCGACAAATATGTTGTTAATAGTTGTGATATATTGGTTGGCGTCGTGTCTATCACTGCCGGGAATCGATGGCCAACAGAACCCCACGATTTCGTTCATAACGAAGGAGAAAGTGGTCAGTATTGGCGACTCGTTAGAGATCTACTGTCAGGTGCAGTACGCGAAGGACTATCCGGTGGTTTGGACTAAAGTGAATAACGATAACCCCAATAATGCTCTCTTCATATCTCGCGGGTCGACAATCATTGTACCCGAGAGTCGCTATTCCGTCCGACACGACGAGAAGCAATCCATTTATACGTTAATTATATCGAAAGTACAAGAGATCGACGCCGGAGAGTATCGGTGCGAAATTACTACTGGAATCTCAAGCAAAGTATGCCTTCAGTTCTAATACACCCTTTTTTGTTAGAAAACTTTTTAACAAACTTTTGTCCTTCGCTTTTGCAATAGGTTTCGGCGGACGTTCAGGTTTACATTCAAATCCCTCCCGTCATCAGCGATAACAGCACTCGAAGGCATGTATTATGTGTATTGAACACGAGTTACCCGTTAGCTAATGTGTAAAATGATTAAATTGTATTGAATAGTGTGATCACATACGTGGGCGCGAACGTAACCCTCCGATGTTATGGATCGGGTTATCCGCCGCCTTTCATCAGTTGGAGACGAGAGCAAAATCAGATACTTCCCAACGGAATGGCATACTTTCGTGGCAATCATCTCCGGTTAGACAACATCACGAAAGACCACAGGGGGACCTACTATTGTGTGGCCGACAACGGGGTCAGCAGGTATTGCATTAAAACGTTTGCGTTATTTACGATATCACTTGAACTAACAATGATTGATGCGAATATAGTGGTGCGCGAAGACACGTCGGCGTTGAGGTGGAGTTCCCACCGTTCATATCGATAGCTCGGCCACAAACAGGTCAGGCGCTGCAGTACGACGCCGACCTTCACTGTCATATCGAGGCGTTTCCGAGTCCTAGTGTTGTTTGGCTGAAGGACGGGCAGGTGTTGAACGACAACCAACACTACCAGATCTCCATCTTTGCCAGAAGTGACGAATTCACGGACACAACACTTCGGGTGAAACGCATTGAGAAGAGACAGTACGGTCTGTACACGTGTCGGGCCGTCAATAAGTTAGGCCAGAGGGAGGAAACGATTGAATTGGTTGAGACGGTGAACGTGGTCTGTCCGCCGGCCTGTAATGTTGGCCTCCAATACACTTCACACGCAACGCGAATCTTGTCGTCCTTTTTGTATAAAATAGCGGTTCCGTTGAGTCTCGTCCTCAGCGCCCGATATATAAGCTATGCTTAAGCATAGAGTACCTCAAAGTTGTCTGTTTTTATGGTTTCATTCAATTTATGAGAGAATTTTATAATACATTATATATTATTTTATACACAATTTAATACTTTTATAATATTTTACAAACAAATAATAGGATCTGAGTTTTGAATGAAAGAAATATCAGTTAATATCACCGTATGTTTGAATTGCGGTTAAAATTGAGTTCCGAATTGAATTTAATGGCAATAAAAGTGCAATTATTGATAGAATCTTAGGATAAACTAAACACTACAGTATATAAATGTTAACACAATTAGTAAAGTCTCGTATTTTATTATAAGGTATACATTTGGCAACTTTTATAATGTTTGTTTCAGACATTAAACGTATTAATTTCTTCGCACAACTCATGAAATTTTATGACAAATTAAGCACAAAATTATTGTTATTATAAGGAAACCGAAAGACAAAGCCGTTTGTGATGATTACATATACGTTAGAATTGAATGCATGGTATAATGTAGTGAAGTGTACATTATATAAGTATTGGTGCAATTAATGTGCAATTATGTAACCCAACGATCAATTCATACTAATTTGATTGACTACTATATGGGAAATGAGGACTTTTTTGTATTCATATAGAAATCGGAATCAAATTGTGTTTTAAAATAAACGACAACTTATTGCTCAGATCTCGTAATTTAAAGGATTGATATAATTTAGTTATTCAATGGAGAGGTTTATATGAAATTGTTTTCTTTATATAAATATTATAATATAATTGAAGCACTAATATATTGATAGGGTTTTCATTTTGATGTTTTAACATAATATTCATAAATTAATTCCTGTATCAAATTCAAATATACATTCAAATTCATTGTTTTAAAACCAAATAAATGTTTTTATATTAAACTTAAATTTCACAATCACTAAATAATATAAATATTGCATATTTTGTATTATAATTTAGGTCTAGATATAAGAGATTTAGATATAATAAATAAATGAAACTTGAAATGCAATTATAAGAAATACTTGAAATTAAATGAGAATTTGGAGACGAATTGCAAAATATTGTGTACTTTTGAATTGTGATTGATTTTCATGTTGTGATCATCACTAGAGTTCTGAAGTACTTCTAACAGATTTATCATTCATATTAACGTTGTTTTTATTTGGAATATCCTTTTCGTCATCAGTTTTAAGTGAGTTAACATTAGTTGTGAGTGTAGTCTCTGTCACTCCGTCGCTGTCATTACCTAACGATAATTTAAACGACCCAAAGACAGACAGGTATATCCAGGCGCCGCACACGTAGCCCAACGTTAGCGAGATTTGTTGCGATATCCAAAAGCAATATGAAAAGTCTCTGAATTAACAGAAATGAGATGAAAATTAAACATTTATATGGTTTGTGAGGACACAAAACAAACTCAAAAGCTCTCTTAAATCCGAGGACAAAAGCGCCGTACAGTCGGGTCCCTAAATCTCGTGCTATAGTTGACAGATATTTAGTTTAAAATGATGCCATTTATTGATGTCTCGCAATACAAACCCGGATTGAATACAACTCCGTTTTTATTAATGGAGAAAAACATAATGAGAGTGAAGATAAACACAGAGATGAGGAGAGGCTGGAAGTATTTGGCCATTGGATTGCTTTTGACGTCAAGAACTGCGAATATAAACATAGAAAAGATAACACATGATAGAAATCCATCCATAAAAGCCATTGGAAGCCATTCCACTCTTGGATGAGGCGATGGAATCATAACATAGCCTATGATTCTGTCCTTTTGTTCTTCGCTTATGTGCTCATAATATAGCAGATGAAGAACAGCCGCCGCCACAAAACAACCTTAATTGTAGTTCATATAAACCTATATACAGTACAGTATCAATACATTTATAACATACCTATATATTGGGCCGGAATAATATGGAAAAGTTTTTTCCTATATTTGTGAATGATTTACTGTATCACACATTTGTAATGTTAGTTAAATTTAAAATTTAATACCAATGCAAACGAGACAATGTGACCAAACTTATAGAAATACCCGGGTTATGATAACCTCCTTTAAAACACAATTTACATCATTATAGATTATGTTTGTTTTTTTAATAAAAATAGTAACTTCTAACCAGAAATAGGAATTGAGACCATAAGAGCACCCAAAGTGCCTAAAAATGCAATTTGTATTAAATGGTAATAATTATTTAGTGATTTGATGGATAATTTGATCCGTAATCTAGTGAACATACCACTGGCCCACGTAAACCCTATGACCACTATATAGATAGGGAAGAGTTGGATATCATAAACGGGGTCCAAATCATTTTGACCGATGGGAACACTACAGTTGGGTTGAACCACTCTTGGATGAGGCGATGGAATCATAACATAGCCTATGATTCTGTCCTTTTGTTCTTCGCTTATGTGCTCATAATATAGCAGATGAAGAACAGCCGCCGCCACAAAACAACCTTAATTGTAGTTTATATAAACGTATATACAGTACAGTATCAATACATTCATAACATACCTATATATTGGGCCGGAATAATATGGAAAAGTTTTTTCCTATATTTGTAAATGATTTACTGTATCACACATTTGTAATGTTAGTTAAATTTGAAATTGAATACCAATGCAAACGAGACAATGTGACCAAACTTATAGAAATACCCGGGTTATGATAACCTCCTTTAAAACACAATTTTCATCATTATAGATTATGTTTGATTTTTATAAAAATAATAACTTCTAACCAGAAATGGGAATTGAGACCATAAGAGCACCCAAAGTGCCTGAAAATACAATGTGTATTGAATGGTAATAATTATTTTGCGATTTGCGGCATTAGATCACTTGTATGGTGACCGGGTGCATTTGGGATACTGGTGATATATCTATCCCTTCTCAACCTATAGTATTTGCCCCAGGTTTAGTAAAACTGGCTACCCTTGTGATGTCAACCCAACTGCGCAGTTCGCGTACACAGGATTGCGATACATACGAAGTGCTTTACTCGGCATTATAAACATTAGCATAATTGACGACAGACCTAAAAACTGATGCATTTGCTAATTATTACCACATTTTCTTTGTGTCTTTTTATTTTTGACATAATTGATACCATTTGAATAAAAGTTCCCACAAATTCAGCCAAAAATTCGCGCACAAAGTCTGGCATTTGAAGAAAATATTTCTTTTGAGATTTATTTGTCATTTTTGAAGTCAAATATTTGAATGATTTAAGACAAGAGTTAAAGTTGTTTTAATTTGATTCAAATAATGTTTTAAATAATACTACAGTTAATCTCGTGCTCTCTATATTAATTGTTATCAATTATCGCTATACTTCACTAATCGTCACGAAAACTAAATTAACAACTATTTTATGATAAGTGGAGAGCAAATTCACACAATAATCACTTGCGAATGTTGTGAGACCGCAAGTAATATAAAGATAATCGTTAATTGAAATTGATTTTAAACAACTAATTGTTTGACGGATTTCAAGTTCAGCTCTCGTTTCTTATTATAATTACACGTAAACTATATTTTAGTTTTTCTTTTAAAAGGTGTTATACAATGAGATAAACAAAATGAAACAAAAATCAATATTAATTTATTGATAATAAATATATTAATATTTTCGAAATAAACAAATATTTGTAATAAAATTGAATATAAAAGTGCATTGAAAGTGGATATAAAGTAATTTCAATGGTTTATATTGAAAATGCAATAAAATTTAAACAATATATAAAAATATATAACAAAATATATGATAATGTATAACAATTTTTCACATAAAATTTAGATCAAAGTAATGAAATTTTAAATCTTTTGATAATTTTTTTCTAAAGTTATTGAAAGAGTATTAAAATAATACTAAAAAGACAACAATAATTA